CACCAGACTCAGCCACTTAATTTTTCCCTGATGAAGATAATCAATCTCTTAAAGAGCTGTACTTAAATGAAGGGTCAAACGCTAATATGAATGCTGTCAGAGTCATCCTCAGAGCCAGCAGCTGCTGAGCTCACTGAAGGAACAGCGTGAAGCACGAAATCTCAAAAAAGCAAAAAAGGCTGGCATCACTAAGCAATGAAAAGAGCTCAAAGGAGAATTATTGGGCAAAACCTTCTTGGTGTGGTGCCTCAACTTTTGCAGCACTGGGGCCATCAGAGTACTCTTGGAAGTGACGGGGATACCAGAAAGGCTCTGGACATGGTGCCAAATCCTAGGCCTACCACAGATGTGTTACCTTGAGCACGTCACTTGACTGCCCTTGGCCTCTGTTCTCTCATCAATCATGTGAAATAACAATACCTGCCCCACCCACCACAGGGGTGCACTAAGAGGGTGGGCTGAAGCCGTGCCCATGAAAGAACAGCCACCTGTACTGTGTGGGCCACTAACCAGGTCTGTTTCAGCTGGGCCACAGCAGTGCCACCCCAGCAAGTCTTTCCTTCCTACACCAAGACTTCTTCAACCACACATGTCAGCCAGTGGGGGCCAGAGAAGGAGCCCACTAAAGCCAGACTAAAGATCTGCCCCACCAAAGTGACAATGTGGTACAGAGAAGGGGCTTCTGACCTAAGCCTCAAACAAGCTTTGTTTCAATGTAACTGCCTGTCTCCACTCCAAAGCCGTGGTAACCCCTCAGGTTTGGAGGGAAAGCCCAATGTGAACTTCCCTTTGGGTGATGCCCAAGAGCTTGCCCCACACCACAGAGGGTCACAGAGCACAGAGGAAGGAAAGGCAGAGTTATCCCAAACATGCATAGAACCCAGCTCAGAGGCCCTCCTGGCGTCAGTACCTCAACATCTTTCTCTCCTCCATTCCTAGACAGCAGTAAGGCAGGGAGAGCAACACATACCTGCTCCCTTGAGAGGATAAACAAAACCCGCAAACGTTATTTTATTTGTGGGAGAGAAATGGCACATAAATTCTTTAAATTCAAGACAGTGGTACGGTTCAATACACCCTGGCAAGACACACAACACGTCCTATCCTCCAGTTGTGCTCTGGCCTGTTTATTTTGGTAAACACTGCTTGACTGTCCCCTGTAGTCATCAGAGAAGAAGGCAGCTGCTGTGTAATAGGATCCCAAGGAACTGACTTTGCTCAAGGTCATGGTGAGTCACCGGGCTGGATCTGTTTTGAAGGCCTCGGCTCTTCCTGTCTACCTGCCCATTGCTCTAAGCCCTCCTGACCCACACAGGCTGCAGGCAGAAAGGCTAAAGAGGCTTCTGACTAGCTCCTTGCTTCTGTCCCATTTCCTTCCCCCATCACTGGAGTTCCCTATGAGTTAGAGGCACTTCCTCACTGCCCCATTCCCTCTGTTTGCATCTGTTCCACCCACACAGCCTCTCCCCACTGTGACTTTTTAAGCTTCCAGACAGGCCTCTGACACAGGCTTCCAACAGGGCCCTCTAGTGCCCAGCTGGGTCATTCTACAGATACTATTGGTCCTAGCCGAGCTTCCTCTAAGGACAAGCCCCGCAGGACCTGGCAGTGCGGCTGCATCAGTCACCACCCCTTGGGCGCACAGGCCCTCCCTGGAAGGCCCTTGATCTTCCAGTGGCTGTTCTCAATCGTGATTCACCTGACTTCTAATCACAAACTTCCTCATTCTTCAAAGATACTTCCTGAGACTGTTGCTGATGCTGCCCTTTGCTGGCAACGTGTAAAAGGCAGAAAGGGTCTGGGGTTCAGAAGGAACGATGATCTGGGTTCCCTCTGCTGGGAGCCACTAGAGGTCTGAGCACATCTCAGGAACTGGGCCGGGGTTGAAGAGCAGTGTGAGAAGCCGGCACCCCTTGGGGGAGCAGAAGAATTCAGGATGGAGACTTTTGAGCCAGTCTGCATTTGCTAAAGCTTCCAAAGCTCTGTGAATGACAGCAGGAGAGCAAGTGGCTTTAACACTGAGCGACAAGGAATAAAAAGCACAGCTTTGGCTGAGCTTGTGATAAAAACTCAACTCAGGTCGGCCTGGTGGCGCACTGGATAGTGCGCCGCTTGGGAAGCGCGGTGGCGCTCCCGCCCGAGGGTTCGGATCCCACGTACAGACCGGTTCCTGCTCACTGGCTGAGCGAGGCGCAGGAGCAGCACCGAGGGTTGCAATCCCGTTGCCGGTCCCCGGTCCGGTACGGGGGCAACACTGAGGGTTGCGATCCGTTGCCGGACACGGAAAAAGATAAAAGACAAAAAAAAAAAAAAAAACTCAACTCAAAGAGGGAAATGATAAGCCATGGGCAGCTCTGATGGGAGGAAAAAGAAACTCAGAGCGCACTAAGATGTGGTGGTAAGAGTGTGGACTCTGGAGTTCACACGACTAGGATGAGCTATGTGCTCTTGAGCTAATCACAAACTCCCTAAGCTGAGACCTTTGTGAAGTGGGGCTGATGACATTACCTACCAAATAAAGGTGTTGTCTAGGAGAAACTAAAAGCAGGAATGGAATGTGCTTAGTGTAATGCCAATGTGTGCCACTCGGGTGGGGGCTAAGAAATGGTAAGGCTGCACCACAGCCTGCTGGCCCGCCCTACTCCCTGTCACCTGCTGGCAGGGTTTGTTCTCCCTCTGGAAGTCTCTGTATGTACCACATCTGTGCTCCACAGCTCTGCTCCCTCCTAAGATGGGGAATACCCCTGGCTTCTAGGTCCAAACATCTGTTAGGCCCTGAGGATCGGCACAGTCACAGAGAATACCGTATGAGTAAAGGCTCACTGGGTACCAAAAAAACCAACAGGTTCAGAGAAAAGGGAGAGGAGAAGCAATCAGCGACCTCCTGATTCCTTGCCACCTTCTGCGTTAGCTCATCAGGAACCACTGCCAACTCTCCAAATAACGGGCACAAAGTGTTCCTAGCTTGCAATGGCCAAGAAGACGGCCACAGGCAAGCAGGCAGAAACTATACATTGGTAAAGATTCCTAAATACGTGAGCAAACGTAATGCAAAAGTTAAGAAAACATGCTTTACAAAAGACAAAATCTGGCCTAAAAAATTTCTTAGAAAGGGTAAATACATATGTGAACATAGAACCTGTACCAAGAATTTATTTTTATTTTTAACATGCCTTTGATAAGGATGCACACCGAAGTGGAATAATCATGAGATTGTTCCTTATGACAGCTGTAGTAAAACAAAGGAGAAAACCAGAAATGAGACAGACATCTTATATTGGTGTCAACAGATGGAGGTAGTCTCAGCTATGCCACCCCCCGCTGGATAGCCTTAGAGAGATCAATTTCCTGAGCCTCCTGGACCTCTGAAATAAAAATGTGGGATCAGATTTCCTCTCCCTCTATCACATGAATTTTATGAGCCCCCCAGGGATATCTGCAAAGGGGGAGCATTATAAACTCTCCCAGTTTGTGGGTGACACGGAACTCTTGAAACATTGAAAAATCATGGATCAGCTGCATAGGCCTGGATGAAGTGGCCAGAAGGTGGCAGCTGTGCTTCAAAAAAGGCAAGTGCAGGGGAATGCACTGAGGGGAAAACCATCCAGACTCACTTGAACTGGATGGCCTTTGTGCCATCAGCTACACACATGCCAGAGAAAAAGCTGCGTATCACAAGGCCTCTGTCACATGTATAACTTTGGTTTTAACAAGCCAGCCCAGCCAAGGGTACTTTTGGGGTGAAATCGGGAAACAAACCAGAAGCCCCCACCTGTTCTCTACAAAATCATTCTAAAGACTCTAAAACTCAAGAGAGAAGCAAAACATTGAGAGAACACTCAGAGAAAGACAAAATTAAGCCACAACGTTAAGGATAAGGCTTTTCGGCTTAGACCTGCAGATGGGGTATTTGATCCAATACAGAGGGGAACTTGGGCCTTTTTACCAAATCCTAGTGCCGGAATCTCTCAAGAGACAAGGTGCACATATCTAACAGGAAAGGTTCCTGATAGGTGGGGCAGTAAACATCTGGAATGCATCACAGCCAGAGAGAGGCACAGGGAGGAAATATGAAGACCTTTAAGAAAGGTTCAAAAGACCTTCCGGGTAAGGAACTGTGCTGTTACTAAAGGCAGTTTGGAGTCCATCGACCATCTTCAGGGCAAAAACCAGGCTGTGCAGTACTGCTCCCCCACCACACAGCCTTTACCCAACTGTGCTGTTACTAAAGGCAGTTTGGAGTCCATCGACCATCTTCAGGGCAAAAACCAGGCAGTGCAGTACTGCTCCCCCACCACACAGCCTTTACCCTCACTACTGGAGACAGGACTGGGCAGAATGAGCTATGGGGTTCCTTGGGACAGGCCCCTGTGTAGGCTTTAGCCTCTTGCTGCCTCCAGTAAAGAGAACAGCCCCTTTCCTCTGCCTACCTGACTGGGAAGCATGATGATGAAAAAGCAATGTCACCTCAGTCGGGCACACTTGTAACAGTTCCCAGAGCCAAATTCCAACTGTTTTACTCAGGGTGGCAATGGAACTGACTTCTGATTACCTAAAATGCCATAGACCCCCTTTTCTCTAATAAAAATCCAAGTACCATAGAACTCTAAAATATCTTTTAAAAGCTAGTCATATTAAAAGTCCCTTTTTCTCCATCAGTCAGTCTGCCCCAAGAAAGCTTTCCTGTATCCCACAAATTCCTTAGAAGGGGACAGCTAATGGTGATCTCTAGCACCCTTATCTTTTATCCATATACAGCGCCCTTCCTGCGGCAGAATCCTGAAATAGCAGCAGTCCGGATTAGCACGGCTGTGAGTAGGTGCTTAGCTGAATAACATCAGAATTAATGAGGAGCTGGACCCCAAACAGAGCCACCTGGTGGGCAGGAACGGGGCCGTTTCCTTCGACCAAATGCCTACCCCCTTGACTATCTTTGCCGAAGCCCGCACCACATTCTGCCCCCCGCAGAGGCTGGGCGGGCCGGTGCGCAGCGCCCTCACCTTTCAGCAGGTCCGGGTGCACGTAGCCCAGCACGTCCGAGACTCCCAGCTCCTGGCGGGAACAGGTGCCTCCGTGGATGTGCAACCAGGCCGGCTCGGCGAGGGCGGTGCACAGCGCCGTGATGGACAGGGCGCCAGGCAGGGCCGAGGCCAGGCTACGCTCCGGCTGCTTGGGCAGAGCGCTGCCTCCAGGGCTCCTCCGCCGGCGCCCGCCGGGCAGCCCTGCGCCTCCGGGGGCGTACATGCCCGGGGTTGCCCGCCGTCCCTCCGAGGTCGCTGCTGGTGGCCGCCGACCTTCGCGGGGCGCACAGAGCCTGCCTGTCCCGGGGAGAAGAGCAATGCTCTGGGTTCGCGGCCGGTGAGGCCGGCTCGGGCTGTCAGGGCCGACACCGGAGGATTGGGGGTGGGACCGGAGGCTGAGCGAAACCCGGAGGGCTGCAGAGATTCGGGGGCGAGGACCGGGGACTCTGGAATGGGAGTGCGGGAAGAGGACCCGGAGAGGGCGGGCCAGGCGGGGGCAGGGGGGTTACCGGGGGCCGGCTACTGGTGGGGGACACACCTGGGCCCGGGATCTCGGCCAGAGGGTGCCAAGGGGCGGAGAAACAGGCTGGGCTGCGGGAATCGGGGACCGGGGACCTGAGGCCGGCGCTTTGGGTGCGACCTGTGTGGAGAAAGGACCCTCCCCATGTCGCCCCTTGTTCCTCACCGGGTAGCAGGCCTCAGGACTGGGCTGGCGCCGCTCCGCCCCGTCACGGGGTTCTTAACTGCCCGGGACCGAGCGATCCCAGGCCCCAATCCCGCAACGCCCAGACAGACGCGGGTCCGATTCACTTCCGGCTTCCTCCTCCTCTGCCTCCGCCCCCTCGGCTCCCCGCCCGGTCTCCTGCGCGCGTCACGGCTTGGGCGCGCCGCCGGCTCTCTGCGCACGGCCTCACGGGCCTGGTAGTTCGAGGATGTCCCGCGATGCTTTCCGCCGGCGGTGAGGGGAGACTACAACTCCCAGAGGGCCGCGCGGCCTCAGCAGCGGGTCCTTAATTCCCAGGCCATCCCGAGCCCTCGAGCGGAAGCGGGAGTCGCGGGCGGCCGCGGGAGCCTAGAGTGGGCATCGCGGAGACGTACCCTGCGGGATCAGCTGTCGGCGCAGCTGACTGCGCACCCCACCTGCTCTTCACCCCGCTCCGGGCCGCCATGAAAGACTCGCTGGTGCTGCTGGGCCGGGTCTCGGCGCACCCGGACTCCCGATGCTGGTTCCTGGCCTGGAACCCCGCGGGGACCCTGCTGGCTTCGTGCGGCGGCGACCGTAGAGTCCGCATCTGGGGCACCGAGGGTAAGGCCCGGCCTAGCTGCGCGACACTGGCGCAGAGGGCTCCGCGTGCGCATGGTGAGAGCGCAGCCTGCAGGGGAGGCCGACCCCAACGGGATTACGGGCCGAGGGAGAGGCGACCCTTGAATCGGACGTCAGCCACCCTGAGAAGGGTTTTTCAGGCAAAGCAGTTGGCAAGTACTGCAGCCAAAACGTCAACAGACAGGCTGGAACTGTTGCAGGAATTGTGATCGTTGCTGAGGCAGGAAAATGGGGAGAGAAGAGTGGTAGGAAAGTAGTCTGCAGAGAAACATGCAACTGGATAGTGACGTTTAAATTTTATCCCGAGGGCATTTGGGAGCCTTTGAGAGTTTTAAATCAAGAGGGTGACTCCTCAGATTTGTTTTAGAAGGATACCTCGAGAGGAAGTAGAGTAAGTTACATCTTTGTGAAAGCGTGTTGTTAATTAAATACATTGAGCTTTGTCCCAGCTTGGCTCCAATACTAGCCCCCATTATCAAATGGCATTGATGGTGCTTCAGCACCTGTTGTTAATTAAATACATTGAGCTTTGTCCCAGCTTGGCTCCAATACTAGCCCCCATTATCGAATGGCATTGATGGTGCTTCAGCACCTTGTTGTTCACCCAGCTCCAGAACCTGGCCTGTCCTCTGCCTTTAGGTGACAGCTGGATCTGCAAGTCTGTCCTTTCTGAAGGCCACCAGCGCACTGTGCGGAAGGTGGCCTGGTCTCCCTGTGGGAATTACCTAGCCTCTGCCAGCTTTGATGCTACCACTTGCATTTGGAAGAAGAACCAGGATGACTTTGAGGTAACCAGGCTGGATGGGACCAGGTTGTTGTCTACTTACTCCCAGGGCTGTTTTAGGAAACCTGAGCCAACCTGGGCCAGTGGGGCCGTGCCCATGAGAAGGACCTCAGGGGTCTTAGCTGCCATTAATGCTCATCCCTTTTCCATTTTTAGTGCGTAACCACTCTTGAGGGCCATGAAAATGAAGTCAAGTCAGTGGCTTGGGCCCCATCTGGCAATCTCCTGGCCACCTGCAGCCGAGATAAGAGTGTGTGGGTCTGGGAAGGTGAGTCCAGGTCCCTCCAGGTCAAGTTGGGAACCAGCTGACATATGTCTCCCTCTGTGTCCCTGACAAGGTTGGCTCTTGGATTCCCTTCTTTTTTCTCCCACAGTTGATGAAGAGGATGAGTATGAATGCGTCAGTGTCCTCAACTCCCATACACAGGATGTCAAGCATGTGGTTTGGCACCCGAGCCAGGAGGTAAGGGTCAGGAGAGGTCTTTTGGTGGGAAGGAACTCTGGTGGGGAGGCTTGTGCCCAGCATTCCTCTGCTCTCGCCTCAATCTAGCTTTTACAGGGATCTCTATCTGTAACCAAAACACATTAGTCCCTTTATAAAAACAGATTCCTGGGACTGTACTATCCTAGCAGGGAGTGATATTAGAACCATAGGCATTTCCTGGGCCATACAGCCTAGTGCTGGGTCTCTGTCCCCCTTCCCCAGTTGTTAGCCTCTGCCAGCTACGATGACACAGTGAAGCTCTACCGGGAGGAAGAGGATGACTGGGTATGCTGTGCCACGCTTGAGGGCCATGAATCCACAGTGTGGAGCTTGGCTTTTGACCCCAGTGGCCAGCGCCTGGCGTCTTGCAGTGATGATCGTACCGTGCGCATCTGGCGCCAGTATCTACCAGGCAACGAACAAGGTGAGGGTCCAGTAGTACAGCTAAAGGAGATTCATCTGAAGAAGTTCAAAGTCTGTTAAAACACATACATGAATTACAGTAAATTGGAGTAAAAGTAAGATGTGATGTGAGAGTGCTGGAAGAATCAGGAAAACTCTGTGGAATGGGGGCCATTTCATTTAAATTTGAAAGGCTTGTAGATTTTAAAACAAGAAGAATTTCGCACAACAGGAGATTCCAGGTGAAAACCCAACAGCATGAATAAAGGCATCGGTGGTGGGAATGCCTTAAGCAGCAACAGTGATTCACTCAGATGGGGGTAGGATATAAAGGATTTGGGGAGGAATTAAGTGGGTTGGGTTAGCCTTAAAGAGCAGGCTGACTAGTTAGACATAGTCTACAGCCTAACAGGGATGTTCCCTTCCCAGAATTCTGCTTTAGAAAGACCATTGTAGCCACAGTGTGGAAAGCAGATCAGCGAGGATGGGAACAGGAATGGAGAGGATTTGTAATTGATTGAAGGTGGGGGTGAGGGAGGGCAGGGTAGGTTATCCTCTGCAGTGGTGCCCTTGAGTTATTCCCCTGTGGCGCCCAGGACATGGACACGTCTTAAGCTTAAGAGAAATCTGTCATGCAGGGGTGGCGTGCAGCGGCTCTGACCCCAGCTGGAAATGTATCTGCACTTTGTCTGGCTTCCACTCCAGGACGATTTATGATGTCGCATGGTAAGAACTTCATCTCCCACTCCCATATAGGAGGGATTTTAGAGAAGTCATGACCCTGTGCTTCCGTCTACCACCTTGGGAGTGCAGGTCCATGGGAATTGTGAACAGCCACCCCGATTTCTTCAGATGAGGCCTGTCTACTATGCTGGCTTAGAGCTGGCTGGCCAGGGATTCACAGAAGCAGGGAACAGACTTAGACCCAGACCTGCACCTGGGTTAAAATCCCAGATTGTGAGGGCTGCACCAGTCTTTGAGGTGCATTGTACCATCCAGAAATTATTACTGAATCTGTGGATTCATGGTTGAGTTTTTTATGGTTTGGTAACAGTGACTTTGCCCATATTGAGGCTGGAAAAGCTGCACCACTTATATAGGAGAGTAGGTCAGAGGGCAGTTCTGGCCCTGAGAATTGATCCTTAGGAAATAATCTGAAACAATGAAAAAAGGTGATGTGCACCCAAGCTTTATTTATATTAGTGAACACTTGGGAACAACCTATATATATAACAGAAGTGAACTTAATAAATTATGGTAAAATTTAATAGCCTATTATATCACTGTTAAAAGAAAAGACTAAGTATATTTCATGACGTGGGAAACTACTTAGGTTAAGTGAGAAAAATGCAATTCAGAAGTGTATGTAGTTTTTTAGGGTAATTATATTGGAGGAAAACTAAATGGAAGCATCTCAAGCCTTATGTGAGTGATGTTTGTGGCTCCATATGGTCAGGTCAGCTCTTCAATAAGACTTAGAGGCCTGAAGTTTGGGAAAACAGGACAGGGACTGTAGAGCAAATCTCTGCTACCTAATTTGCCAGGCTGGGGAGAAAAGAGCCACCCGCATACCTACTGATGCTCACGTTCCTCCCAGGTGTCAGCTGACAGGGGCCCTGGCTACAGCTTGTGGGGATGATGCGATCCGAGTGTTTGAGGAGGATCCTGGCTCAGATCCACAGCAACCCACCTTCTCCCTGACAGCCCACCTGCGTCAGGCCCATTCCCAGGATGTCAACTGTGTGGCCTGGAACCCCAAGGAGCCAGGGCTCCTAGCCTCCTGCAGTGATGATGGGGAGGTGGCCTTCTGGAAGTATAAGCGGCCTGAAAGCCTCTGAGCTACCTCAACTTTGGACAGAGTCATGGTCACCCAGAAAATGTCATGTGACTTTCCCAGCCCCTGAGAGGACCTGGAGGAGCATCCTTGACCTTCATCTAACTTGGCTCACTTCTATTCAGACTTGGGTAGAAGTGCGGAGCCACAGAACTGCTCACCCCTTCCCCTCCTGTGACATGAGGCCCTCAGTAGAGCTACAGAACATGAGTACATTGTTGTTATGTCATAGATTGCTTGTTTTAGGGCACATTGGGGGCTAAGTATACCATATATAATCACCATATGTAGTAAGGGGGTGTGCCTCAGACCTTTCGGAAATTATAACCTTTATAGAAGTAATCCATCTGAGTCCCAAGTCCTATTTTATAAGGACATTCACAATTTAAAAGAATTCCATGGTGAATCCTTATCTGAAGTAGGTCCTGCTTTCCCAATTTCTGGGTAAATACTTGCATTTAAGACATTCAATTAATACTGAAGGAAATTTTTTTTCTTAATGTATATTTGTTTAGAGTAAGGGACGCCTGCTTTCCCTTAGAAACCCTCATATACCTCCTGCACCATTACACTGTGATGGCAACTGGGGATACAAAAATATGGGGAGGCTAGCTGTTTAGCTCGGTTGGTTAGTATGGTGCTGATAAGACCAAGGTGAAGGGTTCAGATCCCTGTGCCAGCCAACTAACAAAAAAAAAAAAAAGGGAAAGACATGAACCCTAAAGGGAGAGTAATTACTGGCCAGTGATAAGACCAAGGTGAAGGGTTCAGATCCCTGTGCCAGCCAACTAACAAAAAAAAAAAAAAAGGGAAAGACATGAACCCTAAAGGGAGAGTAATTACTGGCCAGAGGTCATAACATTCTCAACAGGGATGCAAACTGGTTCTTCAGTGGGTGGCAAAAAAGTCTTTGAGACAATAGTTCGTGGCCCTCAAAGGACCACAGCACATAAATATACCATATGTCTGTGGTATTACATTTTCATAGTGGGGAATGATTAGGAAAAAGATGTATGGCTCCTTAGGGGAGTGGTAATGAAAAAAGTTGAGAAGCGCTGCCAAATGCAATCAGTTCTTCAGTCCCAGTCAAGTTGTTTCTGACAATCTCTTCCAAGTAGGTTTTAATTGAGAACTGTCCCCAAAGCTACAGCCTTCACTTAACTTCTTACATTATAGAAATCGTGACCATAGATTTTGGAAAGACAGCTGGGGCAGTACCTAAAGTAGTGGTTAAGATGTAATCTGCAGATCCCTGGGAGTCCTAAGACCCTTTCAGGGGGATGCGTGAGATCAACTGTTGGCACCATGGCGTGAATCAAGGTGGTGGCACCAAACCATAGTCATCGTAGTCTTCACTTTTACACTCACAGTAAAAGTATTGCCAGCTTCACACTTTACAGAACCAATAAAAATGATTAATTGTATTACACATTGACCCGTGAAAACACTTCCAATATTCCGTGAGGAAATGGGAAACAAGCATGAAGCATCGCTGCCGCACTCTGCAGTTAAGGCTCTTATGGAAAAGCAGTCGTGCAGTTAAGTTGCAAGCTGAATTAGCCGTGTTCTTCAAGGCATACCATTTCCACTTGAAAGAACCAGCAAATTATGGGATTTAGACTTAGCTATTTGGCTCACATTTTCTGGAATTAACAGCTTTTCACTTAACAGAAACAACTGAGTGGTGCCAATATAAAATGAAAGCTTTCAAGCAAAAATTAGAATTTTTGAACTTATATTGCCACCATGTGCTTTATTGGTGATATTAACAAATGTGATATCTATAATGAAATGCATCCACATTTTGAAGATCTGCGTAATTTGATGAACCAATTTTCCCATGCATGCTACAATATTATTCATGGGTAAGAGATTCATTCAAAGTGAGGCCAGTGGGTTGTAATGTGACAAAAGACAAGAATGCATTGATAAGGGTTCTGATTCCACAGTCTTTAAGAAACTACTCTTTGTAGTATCTTGGTATAGTATCAAATAGCCACAATTACCTAAAAAGTCTATTTAAACACTCATCCCTTTTCTACCTATATATCTCTGTGAAGTCAGCTTACTTCAACTCAAACAAAATAACAGATTGAATATAGAAGCAGCCATAAGAATCCAACTGTCTTCTATTAAACCAGACATTAAAGAATTAAACAGATTTGCAAAATTGTAAATTCTCTTCTCACTGCATTTGTTTTGGAAGTTATTTTCCTAAAAAAATGTTGATATAATGAAGTTATTATTTTAGAAGTGAATTGTTTTAATTTTTAATATAATATCAATGGATATAACCTAGATGATAAAAGTTGTTTGGGGTTCTTAAAATGTGCATTTATTCCTAAAAAAAACCAGAAGGTAAAACTTTGAAGGGAAAAATCTGAAGATCTGGATTACAAAATCATTTTACCAAGAGTAGGTCACACCCAGCTAGTGTATTTTAATCCTCCTCCTGGGACAGGACACTGCAGAATTTCAGAATACAGATCTTGAGAAATTTCTAACCTGTGATCTATCCCCAAGGTTCAGTGTTGGCTTCTGCAGCAGTGCCGATATGTGGGTAGCATACTAAGGGGGTGGGCCAAGGTCATAGGCCTGACCAAAGAGAAGCTACCTACCAGTGTTCCCTCTTCTGAAGAGACTGAAATGGCTACAAGTGACAGCCCAACTAAAGAGCAGGTTTGTCCTCCAGAAACTCATGCTAAGGGGCCGGCCCAGTGGCGCACTGCTACAGTGCGCCGCTTGGGAGTGTGGCGGTGCTCCCGCCGAGGGTTCGGATCCCACATACAGACCGGTTCCCGCTCACTGGCTGAGCGACGTGTGGGCGCGACGCCGAGGGTTGCGATTCCGTTGCCGGTCCCAGTCCGGGCACGACACTGAGGGTTGCGATCCCCTTGCCGGACACGAAAAAAGACAAAAACGAAAAAAAGAAACTCATGCTAAGCAAGATCAGTGGCTAGAAAAACAAAATCTTTTTGGCCAAGGCCTTAGGTTGGAGAAAGAAAACTTTTGATTTAGAATCACTGCAAAGACAAATGGTTTCTCCATTTTATTTTACTAGAATGTGTGATTCAAAAGGAACTATGAAATACATGCCTAAAAATGCTGTACACGGTTTCTGCTTGACATGACACCTGCAGACACTGGATTCAGAGTTTGGACTGGAAGGTGGTAAAAGAAAAGTCAGTGGAGGTGGGCAGGGCCAGTACCAGCCCTGTTTGGCCAGACCTCAGGCTGACAGACCTAGTCTACAAAACCAAGATCCCTACAACTGCACATATTCCTAACTCAGGCTGAACAATCCTCTACACAAGAGTAAATGCCTTAGGACTTAATCCGAGTCACTGTCTGTCTCGGCTTCTTTCACATCCACACTGAATTTGTACTCCTGGTCACATCCCATGTAAGCATCACTCATGAAGTATAGAGTGTAGTTGTGAGCACCAGTGGCTGGGGCCACAAAGTCCAGTTTCACCTAGAGAGAGCAGACAGAAATCAGGACAACCGTGAACGCCCTGCCCTACCTCCAGAGCAAATGCTGGGTACGGCGGACACACTCACCTTGGCCTTCTGCTGCAGTGTCAGCCTCTTGATGGAGATGAGGCTATTGGACTTGGCATCTCCAATCACCACCCACCAGCCCTCTTCACGTTTCTACAGGGAACAAAACCCAAGAATTTCAGCATGTAAAACCTGATGGCTATAGGCAACCATAACAGTGGTTACAAAAGCAAAATCAGATAGAAAGTTTTCCAAAGTTTCTTCCCAAAATACAATTTGACACAAAGTTCTGGAAACTGTCAAAAGGTATCTGAAACTGATTTAATTTTTAAGTAGTCAGATGAACTCCTTTGTAGGTTCTGGCTCATTTCCTTGTCCCAAGGTAGATTCTCCCATTTAGTGCTTGCCACTGGATCCAAGATTCTACTACAAGAGATGTAGTCATTGGGGCCTGGCAGCTTTGAGTTCCTCAGAGACCCTTTTGAGTACAAGGCATGTATGCCATATGAGAAAACCGTAACATGGAGACGAACTGCAGCAGAAAGGATCTAAAGCAGGCCTGCAGAAGGCCTCTTCTGAAGCCATGCCTCTGTTCAGAAGCTCTCTCTGCTAGCCACCCCACAGTCATAAACTCCTAGCTAGTGTTCCAGCTTAAAGTGCTCTTCACTCAGAGCCTGCTGAACAGCTCCTTTATAGAATTACACATGACAGTCCAACCTTCCACTAGAAGTAGAGTTAAGGAGCAGTGAGAAAGGAGAGAAAACAAACACCAACTAGAAAAGCCAAAGTGTCCGGGAGCCATTTAAAGACAAAAGCATCTTAATAGTCAAAGAGATTGACAAAGAGATTGACCAGTCATCTGAATTACTTAAAATTAAGTAGAAAACAAACAATAAAAAAAACCCCCATGGCCCCAAGATAAATCCTCAGTCTTGTGAGTTCATTATCATTCTAAATCACCTCTCCTAGTGACAATGTACCCTTGTGCCCAGGATCTAGCCAGTGGACACCTAGCTCAAGTCGACACCTGGTAAAGCCACATGCCAGGACATACCTGTGGGAAGAGAGGCGCAATAACAGGGCCTGTGACTTCCTCCTCTCGCTCCAGCTGCACCAGCACCACAACTGGCCCGCCGCTGCAGAGGGAAAAGCAGGGCAGCACATCAGCAACTTGGCAGTGGGCCCACGGCAAACCATCCTGCTGTGCCCAGCAAGGACCCTAGGGAAGGGCACTCGGCCCTCTACAGCTTACCTGCGGATGCTGTCCTTATCCACCACTTCATAAGATAGTTCAATATTAGGGTAGCGGTTACAGAAGCGGGCCACATCTGCGATCTGGCTGTCAGTCAGCTGAAGCAATGCATTCCGTTCTTCATCCTCCATCTCCATGATGTCGAAAACACTCTCCACTCCCTGCAGTGGGTATGCAGAGGTCAGGGAAGAGGAGAGAACACAGACCAACAGCAAATGGCACTGGGTCCAGAGAGCTGCTGATTTTACTTCCTACACTGTCAGACCATCCAAAGACACAGCTCCAGAAAGAACATGGCTCACAACTGGCAGCCTCTCTAGCATCTCAGTACGGAACGCCTTCAGAGAAATCAGAACTACAAGCTCCCCCTACCAGTACTCACCTCCCGCAATCCATCCCCATCCAGGACACTCAGCTCTCAGGCCACCCAGCCAACACTCCAGGCCAACCCAGCTCACCTTGTCTGTGCAACGTTTGATATGCTCTGAGGTGAAGTGTGGCAGCTGCTTCAGGTATGAGTCCTTGGACCACATGGCTTGGGTGACCATCTGGGCCAGTTCCATGGCTGCCAGAGCAGGGCTGAGCCACCCATTGCTGGAGAGGACGTCCACACAGGCCTGGATGAGCCGGATGGCCTGAAGGGGGAAGAGGAG